CCTCAAATTTGGAAAAAAAATTCCCTGTACATATTATACGCAATATATTCAGAGGAAACGACAATTACTGTACTCTTGTGTGAGCTATATTGGGCTAACTATATTTATTAGTTTTCATTGCTGGAAAAACAGCTGAACATACTTAAAAAATGCTAAACTAAATGAAATAGTTTAGTATAGCTGAAATATCACGGTTAAATATCCCATAGATTACGCTTTGAGTCGTCACCATCTTTTAAAAGACAAAAATAAGATACAAAATTCCCTGTATTTTTCCAGTTTGTTAAGAAAAAAAAAATTAAAATTCCCTGCATTTTAGGTGATTTTCAAATTCTCTGTATTTTCCACATTTTCCCTGTGGAGTGGCAACCTTGGCCCTGAATATATTTCATAATCAACAGCAAAAATTGTTCAATTGACAATTAAGAAACAATTGAATTCTATATATATTTCTTAAGGAATATCAAGCATTAAAATCACCTAAATATGTGGACATATGAATGTAAAGAAATAACTATTTAATTGAAACTAATAAAATTCCTAGCTGCATTTAAGCAGTATAGCCACATCTTCAAAAGTATTGTAAAATCAAGTTTATTTCAGTGACCTGATATTCAAAAGCAAAAAATTTTGCAGTCACTATAGCAACGATTTTTGAACTTAAACATTTATCTTAATTGATAATAAAGAATTTAGTTTGATAAGATTTTTTTTTAAATATGAGCAATGACAAAAATTTGTAGAATAATTTAAGCCTAAATAAAATTTGGTGACTGCAAAAAACCTTTTTTTTTTCTTTTCCTTCCCGTAATTATAAATAGATTTCTGGAACAAACAAAAATATTAATCAGAAAGAAAACTTAATAGTAAAAAAAAAAAAAAAAATACTTTTAGCTTTTTTATGATGCAGTTTGGTAAAAAGATTTTGTTTGGAATTAAAATCTATGAAGATTCGTGAAAATTTTCTTTATCTGAGAATTATTGAGGAGTTGATTGAGGACGATATTGAGGATGAGTACTGAAAATTATTGAGGATGAGTGCCATGGACAAAATTGTCCATGAGACTCATGATGTGAGTTGACTATATAAGAAATGGTAGGCATGAATATTCATTACAACTAAGAAAAAACTTGACATTCTAACTAAGGAAAGTTTTTCACTAAACAACGTGTAAATAAATTTCTTTTATCATTCAATATATTTCAAAATAATAAAAATTTCCTATTGAGAGGAAAAATAAAATAGTTATGTTTTTAACAGTTCCATAAAATGTTGAGTAAATGACAAGTATGCAAACAAGAAATTTCACAACATGTTTTGTTTGTAAAAAACTGGATGTCCAAAAAGCAGGTTCCAGAGATGCAATAAGAAAAAAAAATGTATTTTAGCATTAAACTTCTCTTTAAAAATACTTTTTTTTATATAAAAAAGAAGAATATATAGTATGAAAGTGCTAGCATACAGTAAAACGTGGAACAGCATCTATCTCGGAAATGTTAATAGCTAATGAAAACCACAATGCATTAAATCTCTACAATTTCTTCTAAATGTTTTTACAAACTCTTAGGACATCCAGTTAACCTCAAAACAAAACATATCTTTAAGGGAAAAATATACAGCAAAATTACAGGCTATATATTTTTTTTCTTTACATAAAAAAGATACAGAAATTGAAACAATAATATTGTAAAGTTATATATATTTACAGGAAAAAAAAACATTTTCATTTAAAGTGATACATGAAAATGAAATATTTACAATAAACTCCCAAAATGAGGCAAAACCTTTTGTAACAAAATTTGCCCCATGATGAAAATTTAAAGACAAACAATGCCTGTTTTGAATTTCAGTTGATTGAAACTTTATTGTAATGAAAACAACAATATTGTGATATTGAATAACAGCCTTACATTTTGAAATTTACTTTATATTTGATTTTTAAAAAAATGCAGGTTTTAGATCAATTTTGTTTAATGTGAAATTTTATTAAAATGAAAATAGTTTCATAAAATGTAACTATAACTTTAGTCTTAGTTTAATTTTTATTTAAATTAAAAATGTACAATCATCTTTAAGTTAAATTAAATACAAAGAAGAAAATAAACTGTAATGAATGCAGCATTCTATTAATGCAACTAAGTGCATTGCTTTTATTTAACAGAAATGGACTCCTTAACTGTTCAAAATTTTTTCAAAAATTCTGAATCTAAGAGTTTTATGCAACTTTTTAGTGATTTATGGTATTAATGAATTTTTCTGTACAATAAACATTGAATGGAAAAGTTTTATAACTACACAATTTTAAATCAAAATATTGTTATAAGAAAAAATGTAAAATTGTTTTGATTGCAAAACAAGATTAAATTGTATGCTTTTTTTAAAAAAAACTTGAAGCATATATCATTTCTTTAAAACTGTAAAAGAAATTATGATATTAAATATTACCTTTTCTTAAAACTTAATAACTCATATTAGTTTCTTATAACCACTACGTTAACATAAATTTATATCTAATATAAAAAAAAGAACAAAAAAAATGCTTTGAATTTAAATCTTATACTTCGTTACTATTATAAAAACAGTTCCAAAAAAAAGAAAATCTGTCTGAATAATAAAAATAAACAAGCTTAATTCATGTACAGAAAACTTACTTTTATTTCAAACGGTAGGCTCAAAATGTAAAAAAAAAAAAAAAAAAAAAAGAAAAAAAAAAAAAAAAAAANATTTTTATTTAAATTAAAAATGTACAATCATCTTTAAGTTAAATTAAATACAAAGAAGAAAATAAACTGTAATGAATGCAGCATTCTATTAATGCAACTAAGTTCATTGCTTTTATTTAACAGAAATGGACTCCTTAACTGTTCAACATTTTTTCAAAAATTCTGAATCTAAGAGTTTTATGCAACTTTTTAGTGATTTATGGTATTAATGAATTTTTCTGTATAATAAACATTGAATGGAAAAGTTTTATAACTACACAATTTTAAATCAAAATATTGTTATAAGAAAAAATGTAAAATTGTTTTGATTGCAAAACAAGATTAAATTTTATGTTTTTTTAAAAAAAAACTTGAAGCTCTTTAAAACTGTAAAAGAAATTATGATATTAAATATTACCTTTTCTTAAAACTTAATAACTCATATTAGTTTCTTATAACCACTACGTTAACATAAATTTATATCTAATATAAAAAAAAGAACAAAAAAAATGCTTTGAATTTAAATCTTATACTTCGTTACTATTATAAAAACAGTTCCAAAAAAAAGAAAATTTGTCTGAATAATAAAAATAAACAAGCTTAATTCATGTACAGAAAACTTACATTTATTTCAAACGGTAGGCTCAAAATGTAAAAAAAAAAAAAAAAAAAAAAANAATAAAAAAAAAAAAAACAAAAACAAAAAAAAAAGAGTGTAGACGGTAGGAAAAACTTTGAAATCAAATCTTTTTAAGGTCAAACCACTTAGTTTAAATATTTCAATGAATTTTTATAAACATAATAGAAGTTAATCAAGGAAATAAATATTTTTGACTGTCTCCTTTTTTAAGGCCAAGTTTCATTGGTATTCTAATTTTGAATGCTAACTAAAAACTTGTACTCTGGGAGTGCACAACTTTTCTAACTCTAGAACTGCTTTTTTTTTAATGAATATGAGGGCCATCATGCAGTCAAATTTATAATAATTTAATTACTAATCTGCTTAAAGGAATTATGCTAACTTATTTTATAAGGGCATGAATTGTTTTTTTTGAAATAAAATTAAATTACAATAAGCTATAAAATAAAATAAAAAATTTCACTTTTCATAAATAACTTTCATCTTTAATTATTAAACAATCATTGGTTAACACAGTTTTGCTTATATTTGACTATAAAAAATTTTTCAAATGATCTGGTACTACATTTTCCCTTTCTAACCTTTTATTAGGATGTTTCATGGCAGTTCATTGAAATTAAATTGGGAAGAAAAAAAAACATTCCAACATTTTTTGCAGCATTATTAGTATCACTGAGTTTTTTCAGTTTGTCAGCAGTTTTAATTTTTCGGCTAGAAAAGAGAGGCCATGTCTAAACTATTACATGGTAACATTTGATTCACAAGCCATAGGTTGTGCACCTCGAATTTACACTTTACGATAACTTAGTTTTCACTTTATCTTCTACAACATTGAAATTAAAATCTAATTAAAAATACTTTTAGTAAAAAAATATTGTTTGTTGTTAATAAAGTTTAATGTATTATTCAAATTGAAAAATATTTACAGTTTTTACATTGTTTAGTAATAGTAAGGTATTAAATCGGGCAAGGGATATTTAATTTTTAAGCACAGATCAGCATAGCACTGAGTTAGGATTAAATTCGTAAAAAATATCTTGATAGTTTAAAAATAAAAAACTTCTGAAAGAAAATGAAATTAAGATTTAAAATTTTTCCCCCCAATGAGATAATAATGGGTAATCTCACCAAGATGATAAATTTATACATTCCTGTAGAGCTATGCATGATCTTCGACATTAAAAAAAAAAATTAAGAAATTCAGGCTAAAAAAATAGAGGCCAAAAGTATGTATTAAAAGAAAAGGCAGACATTTAAATCAAGCTAGCTAAAAGAAATTTCCTTTATCGAGTCAATAAATTAAAATTCCTAATTTTTTTTAAATATAATACTATTAATTACTAATTTTTCTAAGTTGGAAAAACATGATTTGCAACGGCCTCTAAAATTTTCTTAATATTTTTGATGCAATATCTTGTAATAGTTTTGAAAGATTAACATAAAAATTGTGCAAAATGTAAATACATTATGTAAACAACATTTATTTAAAAAAGAAGAAAAATGTTTTTTTTTCGAAGTAATAATAAAATTATACACTATTTAACAACAAACATTTATGAAATATCAAAACAAGCACTCATTTTTTATTTTTGTCCAAAAGAAAGAAAAAAAAAACATTTTAATTGTTCACTTATTCAACTATCGAATGATGCAATAATGAAAAAAAAATCATTTATACAAATAAAATACACTCTTAGTTCAGACTTAAAATAATAATCCACAAATACATCGCAAGTATGCGTCTTGAGAAAGCAAAACAAAAGTCTCATCAGTCATTTCCCTAGTCTTCAAAAAGTGTTTATAAAGTAAATAAATGGAACATTCTTCATGATTTCTTTGGAAAATATCTTCTTTTTGGCACAGTGCAAAAATAATTCCTCAGACTTTATCAACACACATGCGGGTCGATGGTTAAAAGTGTTATACAAACCACTCCTTTAAATAGGCTAATGCACAAGGAGCAGTTCAGAAAAAGGCATGAACTTTCAAGATTGTTCCAGTTCCATTTATCAATCAGTCTTTTGACAATAGAGTTCTTTTAAGGATTTTAATTCTTCAATCAAAGCTTTATTTTGATTTTCCAGCACAGCAACTCTGTTTTCTAAACATTTGATGTACTCTTTTTTCTTCCTTCGACATTCTTTAGCTGCCTCTCTATAGAAACAACAAAACTACATTAAGTAACTAAAATAAAATCCTAAAAGACTTAAGAAAAATCTAAAAAGCATGTTTATATTGGGTACCTCATTAAAAAGAAATAATGCAGCACTAGTTTATGAGGTATTTTATTTTATAACCATTCTTGAACAGCCAACCCAATTTTGAGTTTACGACTACCAATGTTCAAGCTTGCAACCTTGTAATTCTGAACACCATTCATAAGACAAGGGAACTCCTGGATCAAGCATTGGGAAAAATTTGGCCTTCTTGTCACACTTTTTGATGGAACTAACCAAAATTTATGTTACACGGAGAGGAAAACCACGGAAACCTCTTACAGGGTTCCCACTCTATGATGAGATTGAAATTCAAGGACTTTCCAGGACTTTTCAAGGACCTCAACAAAATTTTCAAGGACCTTAATCTAAGACCAATTTTAAAAATTATTCTCTTCTATTTTACTAGAAGCAACAATGCTTGTTGTGGCAATAATTAATTTCAAATATAATACCTAAATGCTTTGCCTATATAGAGAGAAGAGAGTATATGTATTATGGACTAAAATTTATATTTTTTTAAAAACAACCCTACTGGTTTTACATATTAATTCACAAAATCATTTTCAGCACAATCTATAACTAATGGTAATGAGGTGTTAATGGTGAAATCCTTTAAT